GTTTTCCACACGAAACGATAACTAATGGATACGTATTCGGTTTCCCCATAGGGATACGTATTCGGTTTCCCCATCAGGATACGTATTCGGTTTCCCCATCAGGATCCGTATTCGGTTTCCCCGTCGGGATCCGTATTCGGTTTCCCCGTCGGGATCCGTCTACGGAATCCCCATCGGGATCCGTATTCGGTTTCCCCATTGGGACCCGTATTCGGTTTTCCCATCGGGATCCGTATTCGGTTTCCCCATCGGGATCCGTATTCGGTTTCCCCGTCGGGATCCGTCTACGGAATCCCCATCGGGATCCGTATTCGGTTTCCCCATTGGGACCCGTATTCGGTTTTCCCATCGGGATCCGTCTACGGAATCCCCATCGGGATCCGTATTCGGTTTTCCCATCGGGATTCGTATTTGGTTTCCCCATCGGGATCCGTATTCGGTTTCCCCGTCGGGATCCGTCTACGGAATCCCCATCGGGATCCGTATTCGGTTTTCCCATCGGGATTCGTATTTGGTTTCCCCATCGGGATCCGTATTCGGTTTCCCCGTCGGGATCCGTCTACGGAATCCCCATCGGGATCCGTATTCGGTTTCCCCATCGGGATCTGTCTACGGAATCCCCATCGGGATCCGTATTCGGTTTCCCCATTGGGACCCGTATTTGGTTTTCCCATTGGGATCCGTATTCGGTTTTCCCATCGGGATCCGTATTCGGTTTTCCCATCGGGATCCGTATTCGGTTTCCCCGTCGGGATCCGTCTACGGAATCCCCGTCGGGATCCGTCTACGGAATCCCCATCGGGATCAGTATTCGGTTTCCCCGTCGGGATCCGTCTACGGAATCCCCATCGGGATCCGTATTCGGTTTCCCCATTGGGACCCGTATTCGGTTTTCCCATCGGGATCCGTATTCGGTTTCCCCATCGGGATCCGTATTCGGTTTCCCCGTCGGGATCCGTCTACGGAATCCCCATCGGGATCCGTATTCGGTTTCCCCGTCGGGATCCGTATTCGGTTTTCCCATCGGGATCCGTATTCGGTTTCCCCATCGGGATCCGTATTCGGTTTCCCCGTCGGGATCCGTCTACGGAATCCCCATCGGGATCCGTATTCGGTTTCCCCATTGGGACCCGTGTTCGGTTTTCCCATCGGGATCCGTATTCGGTTTCCCCATCGGGATCCGTATTCGGTTTTCCCATCGGGATCCGTATTCGGTTATCCCATCGGGATCCGTATTCGGTTTCCCCATTGGAACCCGTATTCAGTTTTCCCATCGGGATCCGTATTCGGTTTTCCCATCGGGATCCGTATTCGGTTTCCCCATCGGGATCCGTCTACAGAATCCCCATCGGGATCCGTATTCGGTTTCCCCATTGGGATCCGTATTCGGTTTCCCCATCGGAATCCGTATTCGGTTTCCCCATTGGGACCCGTATTTGGTTTTCCCATTGGGTTCCGTATTCGGTTTTCCCATCGGGATCCGTATTCGGTTTCCCCGTCGGGATCCGTCTACGGAATCCCCATCGGGATCCGTATTCGGTTTCCCCATTGGGACCCGTATTTGGTTTTCCCGTTGGGATCCGTATTCGGTTTTCCCATCGGGATCCGTATTCGGTTTCCCCATCGGGATCCGTATTCGGTTTCCCCGTCGGGATCCGTCTACGAATCCCCATCGGGATCCGTATTCGGTTTCCCCATTGGGACCCGTATTCGGTTTTCCCATCGGGATCCGTATTCGGTTTCCCCATCGGGATCCGTCTACGGAATCCCCATCGGGCTCCGTTTACGGAACCCGTCATCGGGCTTGTAGCTTTTAGTAAAAAAAATACACTGACTAACCTGCAAAGAGATCTGGCTGCAAACTCCCCGCCCGGGATCCAGCTTCGGATTCCCTACCGGGATTCGGCTGGGACTGGTACCGGTACACTTTCCTAAAAAAAAAAATAATTACATTACATTAAATTAATAAATTCACATTTACTTACCAGAAAAACATTGCAATGCACCAAAACTTGCTACGGACACATTATTGGCACTTTCCCGGGCTAAGTCGTAAACAAATCAAACTTTTCCCATACTGCGAAAAAAAACTGTACACGGCCAATGAGATCACGCATATTTGAGTACAGTGTACTCAATATCGAAAAAAGTGCAGGATGAGTAAATTTGCCGCATGTTTTCCTGTGGAAAACCTCAAAAATCTGCCCTAAAATAAGGAAAATTTACGAGAATCCAGAGAATCCAATCTTTGCTTTTCTCATATTCGGAACATGAGGGAAATTAATTCAAAACTGAGTTCCTGAACTTTTTGCGATTTATGAGTGAACTAACCTCAAATTAGGGTCGTTCTCATTCGCCGTGTAGTGCTGACTCACGACAAAACAAACTTTGCATGCGGCGAGAGACCGAGGGACAACAATTTACATCGTGATGAACTTTGATTCTAATGTAACGTTTGGTTCTGTTGTCATTGGATGTATTCTGATGTTTTATGCGTGCAACAAATTACATCGTGATGAAGTTTGATTCTAATGTAACGTTAGGTTCTGTTGTCATTGGATGTATTCTGATGTTTTATGCGTGCAACAAATTACATCGTGATGATGTTTGATTCTAATGTAACGTTAGGTTCTGTTGTCATTGGATGTATTCTGATGTTTTATGCGTGCAACAAATTACATCGTGATGATGTTTGATTCTAATGTAACGTTAGGTTCTGTTGTCATTGGATGTATTCTGATGTTTTATGCGTGCAACAAATTACATCGTGATGATGTTTGATTCTAATGTAACGTTAGGTTCTGTTGTCATTGGATGTATTCTGATGTCAAATTTTACATCGTCAAGACGTTTGATTCTGATGTAACGTTTGAGGCTAATGTATTTTTATGTACTTGGACGTCACACTGAAGTCTGAATACATTAAGGTTACAGCAATACACGTTAAAATTTAATGTATTGAAGATGTCTGCTGATGTTTCCTACATTACAATTTCTATTCGGGAATCTTTGCTACTCAATGCAAAATGTGCTACTGATTAATAATTTTCTTCATTTGAATTGCAGCACTCTAAAACACTCCTATTGTAGCGCCTTCTAACGTTCCGGAACAATATGAGTATTTCCCCTACATAATTAATCTTCCCCTAGACGTTTCAGCTTTTCCTCGCTTGTTCTTTTATCTCTTACCTCCACGCTTCCACCTTCTCCAGTTTTTCCAATGCACTAGAAGACAAACTTCTCCCCCGATCGCTTACTCCGAATCACTAGCACTTTCCGGTCTATAACCGGATAAACGAACGTTGAAGCCATTTCTTGAATGAAAATAAAAAATCAACCTGCACAAGCGGTCGTTCCTCTCGTTGCAGTGATGCTAGATATCCTTGCGGTCAATTATTGTGTCTTTCACGAATATTTAGACTATTGGCAAATCAAAGTTGGCACTCGTGGAGAATACAAGAACTATAACAGTGATGATGGTTTCAAAATTTTCCACGGGGAAGTATACGAATGCAATCTTAAAATGCTTTTATTTTGCAAATGGAACATTTTATTTAAATCTGGTTGCTGTTACAGTGGTAGAAAAGCTCAAATCTATGTGTACACCTAAAAATCTGAAAAGAAATTAATTTTTCTGTATTATTTGTCTATTGAGTAGTCCTTAAGTTTTCTACTAACATAGCATCAACCAGATTTAAATAAAATGCTCCATTTGCAAAATAAAAGCATTTTAAGATTGCACTAGTATACCTCACCGTGTAAAATTTTGAAACCATCATCACTCTCATAGTTCTTCTATTCTCCACGAGTGCCAACTTTGATTTGCCAATAGAGACGAAATTGAGGGAGCTCGTAGATGGTTCAAATGTCAAAAGCTACCACCTTTCCCTATTTACGTCATGTGTCTTGATCATTAAAATTTTGTAAATAAAAGAAACGTCAGTTAACATCGATGTTCAACTAAAAACGTAACTATTTCATAAATACTATTGCGTAAAATGGCATCTATTATTTCCGTTGTGAAAGATCAGAGAGCGTCAGTGAATACCATATATCATGTTTTATATGGATATTATTTCCTTGAATTGTCCAAATCGAGGCTAGCAACAATTAATCACAAACACAAGTCCACAATCACAAATTGGATCATGCGATACGAGGAGGACGGATTCTATTCTCGCCGATGTTACGAAAGGGATGCTGTGAAATTCTCTCCCGAAAAACGACAATGGTTGATAAACCTGTATCTACAAAATCCTACGCTTTATCTACATGAATCTAGAAAGCGGTTCCAGCAGGAGTTCAAGACGACAATATCTATTTCATCCATTTAGTGCATCATACATAACGCTGGTTTGACCTGGAAATGTTTGGAACGTCGTGCAATTCAAATCAAGGAAAGTGATGTAATCCGTTTTTTCAACGAAATTTCGTGCATTCAGTGGGACTACCACAACCTCGTCTTTTTAGACGAGGTTAGTTTCGATAACAGATCCATGTTACGCTCCAGGGGCTACGGAGTTCGAGGCCACCGCTTAGTGTTTCGAGGAGAATTTGTGCGGAAGCCTAGAGGATCCTTGCTTTGTTTCATTGGGCAAAACGGAATGCTTGAAGCCTTCTCTACCAACGGAACATTCAACCGACTAAACTTTTTTGAATGCTGCCGACGATTTGCTCTGGAAACGGGCCATGTTCAGTGCTATCCGGGTAGACATTCCATATGGATATTGGATGGAGCGAAAATTCACTGCAGTGCGAAAATCATAGAATATCTTCGATCAATTGGAATATTCCCTATCTTTCTACCTGCGTATTGCCCCTTCTATAACCCTATTGAAGTCGTTTTCGGATTATGCAAGCGACAAACTCAAGCTATCTATCAGGAATGTGTAAAGAAAGGAATTAAACCAGTAGTAGCTGAAGTGATGGCTACCTTTAGAAATTATAACATGTCTAACTTATTCTGAGAGGAGGAAAATTTGATCCTTCGGTTGCAGATGTGTCTGATTTCAAGAATATTGAAACAGACGAATGAAACATAATCAATGCAGAAAAGTTCTAATTTCTTTGATCTTTCGTATTTGAAAACCAATAAAATAGAAAATATAGTAAAACAATGTATTTGTCTTTATTCATTAAAACAAGTTATCTCAACTCATTTGCAAGTTGGCTTATTCGTGGTCTACATCCTCCATGTCAACTACCTGTCCAGCAATATGTCGACTGAACTCTCCTTCGGAAACTTCCATTGAAGTTTCCATCGCACTTATGAATGAATCACTCATGCGTCCACGCTGCTCCAATGCTTCGATGCGATGCTTCACGAATGAAATTTGTAGCTGCATATTCTTGGCTACCACCTCAAGTGAGGAAAACGCTTCCTTCAGCGCTGTGATCTCTTCACAAAACGACGCATTTACATTGTGAGCTACAGCCAACCCACGCTTCACACTTTCAATTTTCGGACCGTCCTGTGTTATGAAAAGATGTTGCAGATGCTTTGGAGGAACTGAATTAATCATGTTCTCACGCGTATGAGCTGGCGAAGCAAGTATGGCTGATGCCCACATTGTCCATGCCATTTCGTGTCCATCCCAAAGATGACCATGTCGTTGACGCAAATCCTTAGATAAATCGACGACCACTTGGGTTGAGGCTGCTCCTGCCTTATCGCGCTCAGATGGGTCAATCAAATGTTGCTTCACTGAATTGAAAATCTTACGGGAACTTACGGACAGTGAATAAACATGCAACAGCAGCTGAATTTCTTTTCCTTTCCAGTTCTGAAGCAACGTGGTGGTCAGTTTGTCCAGCGAAGTGTACTTACGATTTTGCTTCTCGTAAAAAATGGCAAACCTCACCAAATCTTCTTCTTCCGGAGAATCCTTATCCATCCATGCTGGCACCGTGCTTCCATCGTCTTGCTGATTAAAAATTACTTCTCGAAGTAGATGTGGTCTGCATAGCTCCCATAATTTCGTCTTAAAGTCATTGAGCGACTTTCCATCTACATTCCAGTGCGCAATATGAGCTCCGGAGGACTGACCTTTAAATTCACGCAGAAACACCAGCAGTCGACAGTTGAACAACGCTGGAGATTTGTTTCCTTTCGGCTGAGTTACGTGCTCAGGTGCATCAGGCTGCTCATGGCTTGGATCACTGTCGGGGTCGTTCCAGTCATAGTCGAGAACCTGAACGTCTTCGAATAACGGGTCATCGAGTTGATCCGCCATCGGGTCTTCGTTCTCATTGCCATCCTCCTTGTCTACATCCTCACCATCATCGTTACGGGATGCCTTTCTGGAAGCCATTCGTTCCTTTTGCAGAAGGTTCCTACAAAGATGATATTATTACATCGGTTGAATTTTAGTTTGCAAATCACCAATCTTACCAATTTTGTTGTAAAACAGTTTAAACAGTTTAAAATAAATCACTTAAAGCTAACTTTTCGAGCGGCTTCAAAATTTCACGAAAAACAAACAACAATAAACTTTTTTTCATTTTTTTTTTCACTCTATTTCCATTCTGTCAACAATGTTCAAGATGTACGTAGAAAGGTGAAAGAAGTGAGAGCGAAATCGATAGCGAAATATCGTAACGACGAAATTGATATCGGTCGAGTCTAATACCATAGAGGTAACTCTAAGACCACTGGGTCCCGAAGAAAATCATTATTATTTTTGGCTCACTCAGTACCAGAACAACGGTCCCAAGCAGTCCCAAGCTATTTCACTCACCCCTGCATGTTCTGCATGAATCCACACACCCCTGATGTTATCTATCAAACTTTCATAGCGAATCAAAACAAACATAGTGTAGTAATAGAATTTCAACTAGAATAGGGTACGTTAATCGTTTGCTTGGGACCAATAGGCTACTAAATTGGTGAGCCAATTTAAAATCGTTAGTTTCGTATTGATTGTTGCTAATACCCTGGACAGACTATGGCTTATATTATGTAATATAGGCTGTCTTGCAATGAGCACTCATACATCTAGTTTTCACTGGAAATCCTATGCATGAGTGCTCATTTCAAGACAGCCTATATTACATGATATAAGCCATAGTCTGTCCAGGGTATTAATGAAGAAAAATTTCGCAATATGTAGATGCCAAAAGTGTTAGAAGTGATGAATCGTGGGTGGGAATTCGGCAAGGTGTCATCCGGGTAGGAAGAGCGCAGCCGTATATTTCCGTATAAAAACATAATAATTCCGTAGATTTGCCTACACTCATAAAAAAGTGCATATTATATACATGTGCCCGACACTTAAAATTTGACCAGTTACTTTTGCATATGGAAAATATGTGTAGCGCTAATGAAATCTTGTTGATTCCATCAAGATAGTTTTTATGTGCAGTTCTTTTGATTTGTAATGCCAGTCCACTGATTATGAATACACACTGTTATTGATTTATATATAGACTAATGAAATTTATTGCTGGGTGTATTGCACAGCAGCTGCTACTATTAAATTTAAATTATATCACCATTAATCTGTATTGAATTGAAACTACTTTTAAATTGCTCAAGTTTGTAGCTTTAACAATTTTAAATTAATGTTAGAATTTAAGAAAGTCCCTCCCCATGGACATGGAGGTTGACGATACTGAAGCAAAGGGTTATGTTGAATTTCTTTATATTTGCAACGATGATGATTTCCAATAGTGACACATATCACCTTCTTAATGCTTCAGTATGCCTCAAACGATTAATTCTTGGTTGTTAATAGAACTTCCTTGCTGAAATCGGCTGCTTCTGACTGAGCAATTCTGATTATAGTATCAGATTTTTTCTGTATACAGAGGAACTGGGAGGGCTTATTAGAAACTTCTCACCAATAAAGTAATTATCTTCTAGTAAATTTTGCATATAATTTTATTAATATTTTACTTTATTTAAGCATATTAGTTTTGTTACAGTCATTTAGCATTAGCATACGATACAAGAGATTTAATATTATCTGCTCCCTTTTGTGTAAAATAATCAATATTTATTTTACTTGTAATTACCTTTGAGTTTTTTTTTCAAGTTTCTTTTTTCTTTTTTTTTGTGATCTGAAAATTTTTCCCAGTTTGGTTAGAAGTTTCGAAGCTAACGCATGTCCACAGGCCTAATCCAGTATTTTACGATCGCTTATGGCCGCCACAATCTGGCTGAGTTTCTGGTAGGGAACATAAGATTTTAAGTTTGTCTTGTGTCGTTTGACGTGTAAACGTTCAAATTTGAACGTTTACACGTCAAACTACACAATCCAAACGTCAAATCATATGTTCCCTACCACAAACTCAGTCAGATTGTGGCGGCCATAAGCGCTCGTAAAATGCTGGATAGAAAGATAGGCAGAAAAAGAGTATCATGAAAAATGCTTGCACTCACTTGCTATAGATGAGTGATTTTCAGAGTTTTGAATTCGTTAAATATTGTAATGGAGATTTGTGTTGTTGGATGCGGGAGGAGATTGGAGGGCGGGTGTTTGATGCATAGAGCCTGTCAATGTCGTTTTCAGAGTGTCGCAGTCAGCGGTTTTATGATTCGTGAGCGCTCGCGATTCGTAGAATCGTTGATTGTGACTGCAAGTGTATTTGGCGGGTTTTGTGTGTCGGACGCTTGCTTTTTGTCCTCTTCTTGTATCTAACATGTGCAGAGTATCATTATAGCGTCTAATGGTTTTGAGATTCCTGGTTGCGTGAAATATATTTGTGAAAATATCTTTTTGAGATTTTGGTAGTCACGTTTTGTTTGTACTTTATATTTTATTTCTTTCATGTAATTATCGTAAATAATAGTTATTCAATCCTTTAAATTTGTCGAACCTCTTAACGGAATCCCTTTATGAAGAGCTTTGAGTGGGTTGGTTTATTTCCTTTAAATTCCGTTATAATTGCTTATCTTTTGACAGATACGCGTATTTCGTCTACTACTTGCAGACTTCATCAGCGCCAAGTACTCAACACCACTACCACTACTCAATAATAGATAGTTCATCCATATATTCGTACTTTAACGCGAAGCGCTGTGGATTATGAGATACTCGATGACCCTGGAGGGATCGATTTTGCTTACTGAGCAGAAAATCACGGGTTTAATCCCAAGCTCTCCGTCATGACTCTTAAAATTCATGATCACTAAACAAAATGAATATGTTCTTTCGATAGCCGGCTATCGAGAGATTAAATAAACAACACATAAACAATACATACTTTTGGTTGTTCCGCCAACTTGATGTGAATCCTAACCAAATACCCTACCCAACCCTCCAACTCCGTAGCTCTTATGAGGATGTCGCTAAGTCGGTGGCCTCTCGTTAAGTAAGTACTACATCAACATTTCCTTCCCTCTACCTAGTTATGGTAAAGATGGGCGTGGCCGGGAATAGCGACCGTCATGCTCTGTTACTCTTGTTTAGATTGGAGCCCTAGGGGCACGCAATAACCTTTAACTCCAACGCAGGCAACAGCTGTAATTAAATTAATTCCATTAACTACTGCTTTAATTACATTAATTGCACAATTTAGAACATTAACTAGTTTTTAACTCCATTAATTACAGTTGAAATTTCGTAATTAAAGTACATTAATTACATTTTCAATACTTTTAATTACAATAATTACGGATAGATAATTTTAATTACTGTTAGCACTACTTCAAAACGCATTAAGCTTGAGCTTGAGCTTGATTGAAAGCCCACATTTGCTACTCTGTTACTGCCAGATCAGCTGTAATTACACAGAGAACCAATAGACGATGCTTGGGACTAGCAATCATCCTCAATGTGTAAAAACTGGTGATCTTAAATTAGGCAATACCAGCGCCGGCCGCGCTGTGTTGACATGACACTCGCTTTGATGGAAGCCGAGAACACCTCTGAACTTCCACGAGGAATCACTGGGATGTTGGATAAGAGGGTTGGGTTTGCAGCAGGGTTCGTTTTGGTAAACGATAAGCTGAATTGATGTCCTAACGATCATATAACGCGAAGGAGCTTGGGACTAAACCCACGGTCTTCTGCTCAGTAAGCAAAAACGTTTGCCACTAGGCAGACGAGCACCTTTTTAATCACCGAGTTGCTGTTATAACCATGTAGTCATATTAACAAATAAAACGATTGACGAATCTTGAATGTGGATGGGCCTGAGATTAGACTTATGATGTTCTGCTCAGTAAGCAAAAACGGTTGCTCTAAGGCCACCGAGCCCCTCATATCACATAATACCGTTGCTCAAATTTGTGTATCCATTCAAACCCGGAACTAACGATAACAACGAGTTTCGCAAAATACACGATACACAAGCGATTTTACCATAAATCTCTTTGATATGTAAGGACCTGGGACCGCGTTTTTCTGCTCAGTAAGCAGGCCACTGTAACCGACGATCTTTCAAATCCGAAAACTAAAAACTACGAAAAAGTACTTAGGCCTTCATTGAGTTCCACTTTCACGCGACGTTCAATGACAGGGTCCTATCGAGGATTACATCTGAAAAATCCAAATCTGGCCAACGCCCACCTAAACCTGTTCTAATCCACCTGAAATGACTAACGAATGGAAGACTTTGACTACCCAGCCATGCAATAGTCTCATTCCGTGCCTTATGGCAACTTGATGATTCTATTGCGTTCATCTTTTGGCACCACCCAGGGGAGACTTGGTCCTGTACCCAATGCTTAACTTATCTCCATTCCACTCAGCTACTCGCAATTTCTTGTGATATAGTGGGCGGAATATTATTATATGAGACAATTCAATGCAGACGTCTTTCCAAATTTGGCAGATCGACAGGTAATCGGTGAGTTACCACGATTACTACTACTACTACTACTTCAAAACGCATTAATTACTTTAAGTACTTTTGATTGCATTTTAACTTCAACGCACCGGTTCTTTGTATTGCGTGCCCCTCGTTGGAACCAATGTTTACTCCCCAGCATTATTCCTGAAAGTAGGCTAACTGAGAATTTCAGAAGAGACGTGAGTGTTGCTAGTATCCAATCCACGAAGTATATCATAACAACGCTAACGCTAACGCTAATTATAAATTAATGTTAGAATTTAAGAAACTGAATGACTTTGTTCAATACTACCCCAATACTAACCCCTCATTTTATCTGTCAAACTTTCATAGCGAATCAAAACAAGCATTGCGTAGTACTAGAATTTCGACTAGAATGGGGTACGTTAATCGTTTGATTGGGACCAATAGGCTAGTCAAGTAGTGAGCCAATTTAAAATCATTAGTTTCTTATTGTTTCTGAGAATTATAGAAACGTCGCATGAAAATGCGCTCGAATTTTTATCTTTGTGTTAGT